CTTGTTGCTGTTTTCTGTTAGACATGTTCTGTTTTTGCGAAGAGACAAGAAAACCTGTAGCCACACACAAGATATCGAATCGACAACCGAAAATCGACAATCCGACAGACACATCACAAGATGTGCCATGTCTTTGAGGTTGCAGTTTTTTTTTTTTTTTTTTTGTTTTCTGTTCGCCCGGACATTTGCAGGCATCTAAGAAAACCGCTTGTAAGAATGGGGTGTCATTTGAAGACGGGTTTGCCTCCGAATGTCCACTAAAAGATATGTGGCCGTGTTTTCTCCATATTCCCACAGAGAAAAAAACGAACAGCGCATTATATTTACGACATTTGAAGGCCGCTTGAGAACTTGCAGTGACACCAAAAAAAAAAAGAAAAAGAAAGCCAAGAAAGAAAATCCTGAACGGTGTAATAACTGGCTGACCATAAACAACAAAGTTATTGCAACTTCCAGCATTCAATGGATACCCACAAAAAAAAACAAAGATGCTACACTTGACTGACACAGAGGGGAGACGGATTGAAGGAAAATAGACGACAATAAGTTAAGGAATAACGACTTAAGCTAAAAGCCTTGTTTTCTAGTTAGGGAGTGAAAAATAGAAATAGGAATGGATGGGGCTATGCCGACGTCGACCTTAAAAGCTCGTCTATAAAGACGACCTTAAAAGCTCGTCTATAAAGACGACCTTAAAAGCTCGTCTATAAAGACGACCTTAAAAGCTCGTCTATAAAGACGACCTTAAAAGCTCGTCTATAAAGACGACCTTAAAAGCTCGTCTATAAAGACGACCTCTGGCTCGTCTATAAAGACGACCTCTGGCTCGTCTATAAAGACGACCTCTGGCTCGTCTATAAAGACAACCTCTGGCTCGTCTATAGAGACGACCTCCGGTTCGTCTTTAGAGACGACCTCCGGCTTGTCTATAAAGACGTACCTCCGGCTCGTCTATAGAGACGTACCTCCGGAGACGACCTCCGGCTCGTCTATAAAGAGACGACCTCCGGCTCTTCTATATAAAGAGACGACCTCCGGCTCTTCTATATAAAGAGACGACCTCCGGCTCTTCTATATAAAGAGACGACCTCCGGCTCTTCTATATAAAGAGACGACCTCCGGCTCTTCTATATAAAGAGACGACCTCCGGCTCTTCTATATAAAGAGACGACCTCCTGCTCTTCTATATAAAGAGACGACCTCCGGCTCTTCTATATAAAGAGACGACCTCCGGCTCGTCTATAGGAGAAACGACCTCCTCCAGCTCATCTATAAAGACCACCTCCGGCTTTTCTATTTAGACGATATTCAGCTCGTCTTAAAAGTTGTTCTCTGGCCAAGAAAGGAAAGACATATTCTTTTTAAACAAATACCGTTCCGACATGAAAAGATTAAAACCTAACAACAGCAGAAATTAAGAATTTTTTTCTGATTCAAAAGAAAATAGACATACCAACGACATACTTTTAAATTACACACACACATACTTCACTTATAAAAACACATATATATAAAATGTTAGTATGGTATGTATATATATGTATGTATGTCGACGTTGTGAGTAGATGAAACTGTTGTTTATGCATTGCAGTCATGCCTCATTAAAAGGTGTTCATTAAAAGTCACTTGAAACGAGTTGGTAATTGTTGATTTTTTTTCTACTTCTTCTGCTTTTGCTGCTCCCAGCTTTATCGACCTGGCTCTCGACGTTTAAATAAAACTGAATGTTCCGCTAGACCTCTTCTTTAAATGTTTTTCATTCGTGTTTAATTTTTTTTAGTTTCATTCAAGAGTATGCAATCCACATACATGGAACCACTTCTCCATCGAAAACCTTACCCCTTTCTCTGCCTTCGCCCCCATCCCCCTAACTGACGATGATAAACAATGTGAATTTTTTATTCGCATTAAATTCGTATAAAATCACAATAAATAAACATTTAATTGCACTCTTAAGTCAAAATGATTGCTTGCTCGCCCGCCGGGAAAGAGAACAAATAGCCGCCTTTGGCCAGTCCACAAGTTTTTTTTCTTGCTAAATTTCAATGAAATAATTTTGAATTTGCCATAATGAAAATAATTGTTATTGTTATTTGTGATTTATATAATAAAATAATAGTAACAGTTTTTAATTGATGTATCACTTGAAGTTTATTAAAGAAAGAAATGTGGGAGTTTATTTTTCTTTGAATTTCAATTTTTTAAGTAACAGAATGGACACAAGTGAATGGAACAGACTAGATGATACCAGAAATACAATTTTTATTTTTATACCCTCCACCATAGTATGGAGGGTATACTAAGTTTGTTATTCCGTTTGTAACACATCGAAATATACATTTTAGTCCCAACAAAGTATATATATTCTTGATCAGCATAAAAATCTATGTCGACTTATCAATGTCCGTCCGTCTTTCCGTCTGTGGAAATCACTCTAGCTTCCGAATGAAATGAAGTAGGTTGATAAAATTTTACTCTTATGTCTGCAGAACTTTTGGTATTGAAAATGGGTCATGTAGGTCCACGTCTTCGTATAGCCCCCATATAATGGTACCTCCCGATATTCGGTATTTTGATGATTTTAGCGACATTATTTACCAGAATTGTTTCAATTTTTGTATTCGAAGTTCGTAATGGATACTACAGCATGAGACAAAAAATGAGCCATGTAGGTCCACGTGTTCCTATAGCCCCCATATAACGGTACCTTCCGATATTCGGTATTTTGATGATTTTAGCAACATTATTTACCGGAACTATTTCAAATTTAGTACTTGAAGTAAGTAATAGATACTACAGCTTATGACAGAAAATTGTCTGTGCAGGTCCACGTCTTCGTATAGCCCCATATTGTACCGTTACCACCGGATATTCGGTATATTTAGAGACGTTATTTACCGGAACTATTTCAAATTTACTATTTGAAGTTTGTAATGGATATTACAGCCTATGGCAGAAAATTGACTGAGCAGGTCCACGTCTTCGTATAGCCCATATATAACGGTACCCCCGATATTCCGTATTTTGATGATTTTAGCGACATTATTCACAGAATTTTGTTTCAAATTCCGTATTTGAAGTTCGTAATGGATACTACAGCCTATACCAGAAAATTTTCTGGGCAGGTCCATTTATAAGCCCCATGGTACCTCCCTATATTCGGTATTGTGATGATTTCAGCTACATTATAAACAGATTTTTTTTTTTCAAGTTTCGCATTTGAATATTGTAATAGCTTGTGACCAAAAGTTGCCTATGCAGGTCCAGGTCGTCGTATAGACCCTAATATACGGCTACATTCGGTATTTTTAAGATTATAATATTCAAATGCTAAACTTGAAAAAAAATCTGTTTATAATGTAGCTAAAATAAATAAAATACCGAATATAGGGAGCTACCATACGTGAACCTACATGGCTCATTTTCTGTCTTAGGCTTTAGTATCCATTTCGAACTTTAAATACCAAATTTAAAACAATTCTGGTAAATAATGTCGCTAAAATCATCAAAATACCGAATATCGGGAGGTACCGTTATATGGGGGCTATACGAAGACCTTCATAGCCCATTTTCAATACCAAAAGTCCTGCAGACATAATACACATTTGAGAAAAATTTTGGCAACCTCTTCATTTCGTTCAGAAGCTAGAGTGATTTTCTCAGACGGAGAGACGAACAGACGGACGGACGTTGATAAATCGACATAGAAATTTATGCTGATTAAGAATATGTATACTTTGTAGGGTCTAAAATGTATATTTCGAGGTGTTACAAGCGGAATGACAAACTTAATATACACTCCATACTATGGTGGAGGGTTTAAAAATAGAACAAAAGATATTCTCTCATTTTTGGTATATCTTTCCGCGATTTTCTTAAATTGTATCCTTTTCTGGCTAGAGACCATTCCGATTTGAGGGGAATTGTGGAAATCGGCCCAGCGGTTCTTGCCTCATAAGCAGAATAAATAAGATATATTTCTTTTACATATATATTGTTTCTATTTTGCTCTAAATTCGATTTATTGGCTATCAGCATCGCTTTAATGGTCAGGAGTGACCTTTTAATAATATTAGTGATTTGGCTGGAGTTAAAAATATTCGCGGTTTAATGGAAATTTTCCTATTTTCTTATATAAAAGTTAGGGTCTATTTTACCCGCTAAATATTGTCCGATTGTAGCCCAAATTTGTCTGCACAGTCCTAAACTCTAACTCTATTTCCGCGTCGATTGGTTCATAATTTTGGCCTACAGATCAACTGCAAAATCAGGAATCTTTTCTGTTTTTGGTCCACTTCAACCCCTAAACATTTTGCAATCATCTCCAAAAACAATAGGGTTATATTCTGAACACAACCCCACCTCCATTTTCAATTTCGTGAGGATCGGGCCATAATTGCGACCTGTGGCGTGATTACAAATTAACATGGACAGACGGACAGACAGATGGACGGACATGCATAGCTAGATCGACTCAGCTCGGCGAGATAGGAAGATCCCTATATACTTTCCTATGTGGGAAACCAATATTTCGAGGTGTTACATAATTTTTGGCCCAATCAAACTTATAATACCCCCAACACCTAGTGTTGTAGGGTATTAAAAATTGACCCTTTAAATTTAATTTAAAAAATTAAAACATTTCCCCCCTTAAAATTATAGTGGCCCTGCAAATTTTTTTCCAACATTTTTCTACAGATTATTAACGACATTAAAACATTTCATCATTTTAAATTTCATTAAATTGCCTCCTAAGTAATTCAAAAAATATGTATAAATTCCAATGTTTTTTGTCGTTTAATTCTTGGTCTCCAAAAAAGTATTTCTTAATGACATTTTTTCGTTTCATTTGTTTGTTTTTGTAATGAGGATTTTGTGCATAAGCAAACATCTGAAACACTACGTTGATGGAATTTATAATTTGCTGCTAATTCTTTTTTTGAGTTATGAATAATTTATTCGAAGCCATATACAATATAAGAAAGAATGCATTTACTTACCCCCTAAAATTTTGTTTTAGTTCTTTAATGGTATTCTGAAAATAAATTAAAAAATAACAATTAAATAATTTATTTTGAAATATAAAAGTATTAGGAAATAATTTAGACAAACAACGGAAAATACAACATCCCCTAAACCTTGAAAAATAGTCTTTAAAAAATCCACTTTTATTGGTCTGATGGTCCTTCAAAAAATTCTTTAAAAAATCCACTTTTATTGGTCTGATGGTCCTTCAAAAAATTCTTTAAAAAATCCACTTTTATTGGTCTGATGGTCCTTCAAAAAATTCTTTAAAAAATCCACTTTTATTAGTCTGATGGTCCTTCAAAAAATTATTTAATGGTCCTTCAAAATTCTTTAAAAAATCCACGTTTTTTGACCTGATGGTCCTTGAAAAATAATCTTTAAAAAATCCACGTTTATTGGTCTGATTGTCCTTGATTTTTTTTTAAATAAATCTACGTTTATTGGCTTGATGGTCCTTGAATATTTTTCTTTAAAAAAATCCACGTTTACTGGTCTGACGGTCCTTGAAAAATATTCTTTAAAAAATCCAAGTTTATTGATCTGATGGTCCTTGAAAAAATATTCTTTAAAAAATCCACGTTTATTGATCTGATGGTCCTTGAAAAAATATTATTTTAAAAAAAACAACGTTTATTGGTCTGATGGTCCTTGAAAAATATTCTTTAAAAAATCCACGTTTATTGATCTGATGGTCCTTGAAAAATATTCTTTTAAAAATCCACGTTTATAACTCTGCTGGTCCTTGGAAAAATATTCTTTAAAAAATCCACGTTTATTGTGATCTGATGGTCCTTGAAAAATATTCTTTAACAAATTCACGTTTATTGATCTAAGGGTCTTTGAAAAATATTCATTAAAAAATCCACGTTTATTGATCTGATTGTCCTTGAAAAAACATTCTTTAAAAAATCCACGTTTATTAATCTGATGGTCCTTGAAAAAATATTCTTTAAATAAATCCACGTTTATTAATCTGATGGTCCTTGAAAAAATATTCTTTAAAAAATCCACGTTTATTGTGATCTGATGGTCCTTGAAAAAATATTCTTTAAAAAATCCACGTTTATTGTGATCTGATGGTCCTTGAAAAAATATTCTTTAAAAAAGCCACGTTTATTGTGATCTGATGGTCCATGAAAAATATTCTTTTAAAAAATCCACGTTTATTGATCTAAGAGTCCTTGAAAAATATTCTTTTAAAAAATCCACGTTTATTGATCTAAGAGTCCTTGAAAAATACTCTTTAAAAAAATCCACGTTTATTGATCTAAGAGTCCTTGAAAAATATTCTTTTAAAAAATCCACGTTTATTGATCTAAAAGTCCTTGAAAAATATTCTTTAAAAAATCCACGTTTATTGATCTGAAGGTCCTTGAAAAATATTCTTTAAAAAAATCCACGTTTATTGATCTGATGGTCCTTGAAAAAATATTTTTTAAAAATCCACGTTTTTGATCTGATGGTTCTTGAAAAATATTCTTTAAAAAATCCACGTTTTTGATCTGATGGTTCTTCAAAAATATTCTTTAAAAAATCCACGTTTATTGATCTGAAGGTCCTTGAAAAATATTCTTTAAAAAAAACCACGTTTATTGATCTGATGGTCTTGAAAAATATTCTTTAAAAAATCCACGTTTATTGGCCTAATAGTCCTTGAAAAATATTCTTTAAAAAATCCACTTTTATTGGTCTGATGGTCCTTGAAAAAATGTTCTTTAAAAATTCACGTTTATTGGTCTGAAGGTCCTTGAAAAAATGTTCTTTAAAAAATCCACCTTTATTGATCTGATGGTCCTTGAAAAAATATTCTTTAAAAAATCCACGTTTATTGATCTGATGGTCCTTGAAAAAATATTCTTTAAAAAATCCACGTTTATTGATTTGATGGTCCTTCAAAAATATTCTTTAAAAAATCCACGTTTATTGGTCCACGTTTATTGATCCTTGAAATATATTCTTTAAAAAATCCACGTTTAATAACCTGATGCTGCTTAAAAAATAATCTTTAAAAATCCACGTTAATTGGTCTGATGGTCCTTGAAAACTATTCTTTAAAAAATCCACGTTAATTGGTGCGATGGTCCTTGAAAAAATATTCTTTAAAAAAACCACGTTTATTGATCTGATGGTCCTTGAAAAAATATTCTTTAAAAAATCCTTGAAAAAATATTTTTTTAAAACATTTACGTTCATTGATCTAAGGGTCCTTGAAAAATATCCTTTCAAAAATCCACGTTTATTGATCTAAAATATTATCAATTTTCTTCATTTCATTCGGAAGCTTCAGTGATTTCCAAAGACGGACGGACATCGCTAAATCGACATACAACTTTATTCTGATCAATAGCTATGCTTTTTTGGGTCTAAAATGTATATTTCGAGATATTACAAACGGAATGACAAATGTAATATACCCTCCACAATGTGGTGTCACCCTAAGTATTATGCTTTATGTATCAAAAAACAAAAGACTTAAGCGCGAAACTTGATTCAACAATCATCCAAGTAATGACTGAAGTTAAAAGTCAATGTCATCACTCAGTCGGTCGCACTCCTCACATTCATTCGTCGTTTAACTCAACATTAAAAGTTTAAAAGTGAAAAAGGTCGTAATTACCTCAAAATGCATTGCTATAAATTATAACGAAAATTAAATTTATTACATCTACGAAATGTCAAAGGTAAATGTGAAGCAAGAGAGCAAAATCAACAACTAAAAACAATGGAAGAGAATTCTACATAATGAAGAGCTAATAATTAAGTTTCAAAGACAATAGGGGAAAATTCGAAAATTCTTAATCGCAGAAATTCATATTTTGATAAAAAAAATATATTGCTGTAATATTTACACAATTTAATAGGCTATAAATTATTTGGAAGAGGGAAGATAACACGAATGACTTCAAAAAAATATTTAAGATATTGAGATAATGGTTTAACGAAAATCAGTAATTTTTTATAGATATGTGTGAAACAAAGGGATATTTAGAACCTTGTTCATCCGAAATTAAAGATTTTTTTGGGGAGAGCAAAAATATATAGATGATGTTAAATTTATGTAGATCAATATTTCCAACGGCGTATTAATAAAAATATACGGCAGCACCTTCCTTATGGACTGCTCGAATGAAACTAAATATTCTACCAAAACCAAAAATGCGCCGAAATCAAAATAACGGTTTTAGACCCTTGGTCTCTTTAGATCAAATCCGTTGCAGGAAGTTGGAGTCGAGGTATCCGTCCGTCCGTCCGTCCGACTGTCTGTCTGCGCACGATAACTCTCGAAGGAAGTATCAGATTTCATTCAAACTTGTTATATCGTCATATTATTATCAAACTTAGATCGAGTTGGAAGAGGGGCAAAATCGGTCAACTCCTTCTGGTACCTTCCCCACAAAAAGTTGAAATTTTCCAACAAATATTTTACTGCACATAAATAGCAAGGATTATCCAATTTTGCTCTAATTTTGCAAATTCATATATTTAAATCGGTGCTAGGTCAGGTGTGAAAATGGGCAATATCAGTCCACTCCATCAAGTACCTCCCCCACAAAAGGTCAAAATTTTGAATAATTATAACTTAAATAAAATGTTACATAAGGGTTCAATTATCTTTAAATTTCACATATCACAATATTTTTTATTAACCCAAGATTTGGTGTGAAGATGGGAAATATCAATCCACCCCTTCTGGTACCTCCCCCACAAAGTGTCAACATTTTAAATATCCATGAAGCTCAAAAAATGCGATATTAACATCCAATTTGATTTAAACTCGGCACATCTCAATATTTTTATTAACACAAGATCAGATATTACGATGGTATAGATCGGACCATTCCTTCTGGTACCTCCCCCACAAAGGGTCAAAATTTTGAATAAACAAGACGATCATAAAATCCGAAATAAGAATCCGATTCTCTTAAAATTTCACACATGCGCGAATATTTTTACAAACACAATAATTGCTGTGAAAATGGGATATATCGGCGAACTACTTCTGGTACCTCCTCTAAAAAGAGTTCAAATTTTTGAAAAACAAAACGCGAAATAAGCGTCCAACTCTCTTCAAATTTCACACACACACACACAAACATTTTTGCTAACACAATATTTGCTGTGAAGATGATATGTATCTGCCAACCCTCTCTGGTACTTCACCCATAAAGGGTCACAATTTCCAATACTTATATATGTCATAACTTGCGAAATAACTCGGTGATTCTACACAAGTTGTTATATCTAAATATTTCTCTTAACCAGAAAATTGATATGAATATGTAATTGATCGGAATTTATGATTTCACAAAAAATTGGATATAAATGTTCGATTTCCTTTAAATTTTGCACATACCAATATCTATACCCTACACCACAAGGTCGTCAGGGTATTATGTCTTTGTGCATTTATTTGTAATAGGCAAAAGGAAACGAAATAGACCCATAGTTCCTTTTGATGATCTGCATAGAATCACATTCTGAGTCGATTTATGCATGTCCGTCCGTCCGTCTGTCCATGTATTTTTGTAAACAAAATGCAGGTCGCATTTATTGCCCTATCCAGATGAAATTTTGCACAAATCATTTGTTTGGCCCAAGGACGAACCCAATTGAAATTGGAGATAATCGGTCAAAATTTAGATATAGCTCCCACATTTATCTTCGTCCGAATTGCGTTTTATTGTACACCAAACGTGTAATATCAGCCCAAATAGTATAGAATTTTGCATATACAATCAAATTAGGCCTGAAAAATAAGTATGCCAAATTTGATCGAAATCGGTTCAGATATAACTATAGCTCCCATATATATTGTTCATCCGATTTGTTATTTTAGTCCTCCGCAGCCGTAATATGCACTCTGTAACAACAATATTTGGGGAAATATATCAAATACAGCTCAGAAATACATTTGCTAAATTTTATCGAGATCGGTTCAGATTTGGATATGGCTCCCATATATAACTTCGTCCGATTTACCTTTTATCGTGCACCAAACGTCTAATA